TATCTGGAATCTATGGCAAAACAGTAATTTTTTTTTGTTTGTTTGTTTTGGTTTTGGTTTTTCGAGACAGGGTTTCTCTGAGTAGCCCTGGCTGTCCTGGAACTCACTCTGTAGACCAGGCTAGCCTCGAACTCTCGAACTCAGAAATCTGCCTGCCTCTGCCTCCCAAGTGCTGGGATTAAAGGCGTGTGCCACCACCGCCTGGCCCCAGTAATTTAAAAAAAAAAAGATTTGTTTATTTATTATGTATATAGTTCTCTGCATGTTTGTATGCTTGCAGGCCAGAAGAGGGCACCAGATCTCATGATAGATGGTTGTGAGCTACCATGTGATTGCAGGGAATCAAACTCAGGCCCTCTGAGAGAGCAGTCAGTGCTCTTAACCACTGAGCTATCTCAACAGCACCAGACCAGTAACTTGTTAAGCCTGGACTTTATTTTTTATTTTATTTTATTTTGGTTTTTTAAGGTAGAGTTTCTCTGTGTGCCTTGACTGTCCTGGAACTCATTCTGTAGACCAGGCTGGTCTTGAACTCCCATCCATCTACCTGCCTCTGCCTGGGATTAAAAGTGTGTGTTACCATGCTGAGCACATATTTTATTTCTGTTTTGTTTGAAGGGTATTTTGAGACACAGTCTTGCTATGTAGTGATGCTGTCCTCAAACTCAAAATGACATTGTTCCTGCATTAGCTTCCCAAGAGCAAGCCTAAACATCCTGCTTTTGGGGCTGCAGAGATGGCTCAGAGATTGAGAGCACTGTCTTCCCTATAGATTCTGAGATCAGTTTCCAGCAACCACATGGTGGCTCACAACCACTGTATTGAGGTCTGGTGCCCTCTTCTGGCCTACAGGCACACATGAAGGCGGAGTGCTGTATATATAATCAATCTAAAACAAACAAACAAAAAACCATTCTGCTTTTGTTGTGTGTATGATGGTATCACATGCATGTGTGGAGGTGAAAGATTAATCTTGGATGTTCTTACTCAGGTGCTGTCTATTTTATTAAGGTTTTTAAAATTACTCATTGTTAATGTGGAGGTGGGGGAACCTGGAGAGATGGCTCAATGATGAAGAGAACTCATCGTTCTTCCAGAGGATCTGGGCTCAAGCTGCATGGGGACTTTTAACTACCTGTTACTCCAGTTCCGGGGGAATTCAGCATTCTCTTCTCATCTCCTTGTGTACACATTCATTGCACAGACAAAATATATATACACATAAAATTAAAAAAATATATAGTTGTGTGTGTGTTCACACTCGCGTGAGAACACAAGCGCATATGCCTGCACACGATACACACGAGGAGGCTAAAAGACAAGTGTTGAGTCAATTCTGCCTTCCGTGGGTGCTAGGAATGGAACTCAAGTTACCATGTGTGCATAAGAAGCGCTTTTACCCAGCAGAGGGACCAGCTGGCTAGCATTCTGCTTGTTTTTCTTTTCTTGTTTTTTTTTTTTTTTTTTTTTTTTTTTTTTGGGAGGGGGGTTCGAGACAGGGTTTCTCTGTGTAGCCCTGGCTGTCCTGGAACTCACTCTGTAGACCAGGCTGGCCTCGAACTCAGAAATCCACTTGTCTCTGCCTCCCAAGTGCTGGGATTAAAGGCGTGTGCCACCACCGTCCGGCTGGTTGGTATCTTCAAAAAGGCCAACCAGATAGGCCTCACTTGCCTCCTGCAAATCACCGACAGCTGCACTCTGGAAGCGCAGATCTGTTTGAAGTCTTGAGCAATTTTCTCGCACCAGACGCTGAAAGGGGAGCTTGCGAATCAGAAGTTCAGGGGACTTCTGATAGCGCCTGATTTCACGGAGTGCCACAGTACCAGGCCTGTAACGATGAGGTTTCTTCACCCCTCCAGTAGAGGGCGCACTCGTGCGAGCGGCTTTTGTAGCCAGTTGTTTCCTGGGTGCTTTACCACCGGTGGATTTGCGGGCAGTCTGCTTTGTACGAGCCATGGTATGGGCACCTCCTTACTTACTCCCCTGCTCCTTCGGCTGGAGCTCGGCAAGCAAGAGGCGGCGCTGGCGTTAGAGAACGGTGGCGGCGAGGAGAAGGCTACGAACACCTTTTGTCTTTTAAAAACAAAAACAAAAAACAACAACAACAAAAAAAAAACAGGGATCTAGAGACCAAACTGAGGTCTGGGCAAGCACTTTACTGAGCCATCTCTTCAGTCCTTGTTGGTTTTGAGGCAGGATCTCACAGTAATTCTCCTACGTGAGCCTCACGCGTGCATCAATGCTGGGATTACAGGCATGAGCCTATAAACCTAGGTTTGCTTCTTTCTGTTTGTTAGCAGGATCTCATGTAACCCAGGCTGGACTTGAGCTTTTGATTCCTTTCACTTTTGTTTTTGTTTTTGTTTTTTTTCGAGACAGGGTTTCTCTGTGTGGTCCTGGCTGTCCTGGAACTCACTCTGTAGACCAGGCTGGTCTCGAACTCAGAAATCCGTCTGCCTCTGCCTCCCTTCTTTCACTTCTTTTTGTCCAAAAACTGTGATCACAGGCATGTTCCATCATGACCAGTTTGGGTACTGCATCTTACATAAGGATTTGAGAATGTGTCAGGAGAGGAGAGGTGATGGAGGAGGGGAGTCCTTCCTTTCTAAGCACCTCCAATTCCCTCCAGGAGGAATGTCTAGTTTTCTTTAGTTTGTTTTTTTGTTTTTGTTTTTCCCTCAATAGGTAGTGAGTTCCATGTGGACAGGTTATTATTTTAAAGTAGTATCTTTATTTCGCCACACCATCGACGTTGGAATCCCCGTGACAACTGGACAAACACCCGAACAGCTTCATAAATGACCGCGTGAACATCCTCGAAGAATCGAAACACCCGCCACTTTTCTTTTGTTTTTCCTTTTTTTCTTTTTCCTCTCCGGGATTGATTGGCGTCTCCCACACGTGATCGGGGCAGCTAGCGGGCCTAGGAGGCTCGGGCATCCACGTGGTCTCCCGCAAAGCACGGAGGCGGGACTACGCAGGCGCGGCTGTCTGCGCAGGCGCAGGCGCAAGCGCGTCCCGGGTGCACGGGTTTTCGGCCGGCGGTTAGAGAGAGCGGGAGCTGGTGAGCGGAAAGCCGGCGCCATGGTGGAGAAGGAGGAGGTCAGCGCCGGCGGCGGCATCAGCGAGGAGGAGGCGGCGCAGTATGACCGACAGATCCGCCTGTGGGGACTGGAGGCCCAGAAGCGGTGAGGGTCGCCGCGGGCCTGGGTCGGCGTGTGGGCTCGGAGGGAGCGGGTGCGGCCCTGTTGTAGGGCGGAGTCGGGTTTGATGCCTTTGGGTTTTCTGGTGCCTCAGAATGGACGAATGGAGGGTGTGTCTGCAAAAAGTATGGGAGGTGGAGAGATTCCCCTGTGTAGTAGTGCGAGTGTCCTCGGAGGAGGCAGGGAAGAGGGAGGATTCGAACTCGAGGCTCCCTTGGTGTCTGTACCTGGTGATGATGGGATTTAGGTGAAGCTTTTAGGATGTAAGAGGAGTGAGCATGAGTGCACGTTGTGGGGGCGGGCTGGCCTCATTAATTCCTAGTCAGTGGGAACCTGTGTTGGAAGCCCTGGGGACTTAACAAACCCCACAGGCTCCTTTTGAGGAGTGCTCGAGAGCAAGTCCTGACAAAGGGACTACTGGAGAGGCGCAGAGTGGCCGAATTTATTGACCACACAGATGCTGTCCCCCACCCCCCGACCCCCAGATCAGGTTTCTCTGTGTAGCCCTGACTGTCTTGGGACTCGCTCTGTAGACCAGGCTGGCCTCACACTCAAGAGATCCTCCTGATTCTGCATCCCAAATGAGAGCTGGGATTAAAAAGGCATGCGCCACCACACCTGGCTTCCTTCACATTTTCAAGTTATATTTTGTGGGGGCAGGACATGGTTGTTCATACTTTTAGTTCTGGTACTCTGGAGGCAGAGGCAGGAGTATCTCTTGTGAGTTCGAGGTTAGTCTGATCTGTGTAGTTCCAGGACAGCCAGGGCTACCACCGTGAGACCTTGTCTCAAAACTAACTCCGAAGTTAATTGCTTTTTTTCTAGCATAGGCTGGTTTTGAACTTGCAGAGATCTTCTTACTTACCCTCTCAAGTGCTGTGATACATGCATGCACCATCACACATTGGCTCCCTAAGCATTTTTAGGGGGAGAGGTTTTAGAATTTTATGTATTGACTTCTGTACGTTTTCCATGGTGTTGATGTGTTTGCAAAGGACAGTTTTGTGCAGTCAGTTCTCTTCTTTCACCTTTATGTAGATTCTGAGGTTTAAACTCAGGGTGCCAGGTGTCCCCCAGGCCTTTGAGACAAGCACTTGACTTGGTGAGGCATCTTGCTCGGACTCCCTGAGCATTTTTTTATTGAACAAAACAGGCTCCTTCCCAAGTTGAGGCTTATGTTTTGATATGGACTAAGGGCAATATTCATAAATAATAAAGTTCCATAGTAATAAGGCTACAGGATAGTGGCACACACCTGACATTGCAGTCCCTAGGGTGAGGATGGAGGAATGAGCTCAAAACTAGCCTTCAGTACAGAGTGAGTTTGATTCTATATATACAGGAACACCTTATTTCCAAAAAGAAAAGTACTTCCAGGCATGGTGATACAAGCCTTGATCCTATCAAGAGGCAGGCTAGGTCTATGTAAACACCCCAACAAACCAGAAAACTGTACATTGGTGAGGTGGCTCACACTTGCAATCCCAGTATTCAGGAGGCTGAGGAGGGAGGGAGGCACCATCTAAGCAAGATGTGTTGGTGCATGTCTGTAATCTTAGCCCTCAAAAGTTAAGTGCAGGAAGATCAGAAGTTCAAGGCCTTGGCATGGTGGCATACTCCTTTATTCCCAGTGAGCTTGAGGCCACGTGGTCTACATAGTGAGACCCTTACTTTAAAAGGAGGAGGGGGGTAGAGTGGGAGCTGGAGAGCAGCTCTTGGAAGTAGGCTCAGATTTTGTCCCCCTCATCCATGTGATGGCTCACAACCACCTGTAACTCTGGTTGCAGGGAATCTGAACTCTTTTTTTTTTTTTTTTTTAAAAG